TTTTTTCTAAGCTAATAGATTCATCTTTCTTTAGTGTAGATAATTTTGTTTCTTTCGGTTTCTATGATTAAAATGTTAGTTATTTAATTTTATGAGAATATAAAAAACAATTAAAATCAAATTAAAACTCACATTTTTCTCGAGATTTAAAGATTCATCTTTTTTAGGTGATAATAAATCTTCTTCCGGTTTCTATAAAAAAATAACAAAAATATTGATAAATGTATTATCAATTTAATTTAATTTAACTTACAGTTTTTTCTAAGCAAATAGATTCATCTTTCTTTGGTGTAGATAATTTTGTTTCTTTCGGTTTCTATGATTAAAATGTTAGTTATTTAATTTTATGAGAATCGAAAAAACAATTAAAATCAAATTAAAACTCACATTTTTCTCGAGATTTAAAGATTCATCTTTTTTCAGTGATAATAAATCTTCTTCCGGTTTCTATAAAAAATTAACAAAAATATTAATAAATGTGTTAATTATCAATTCAAATTTATCAATCAAATCAATTTAATTTAATTTAACTTACAGTTTTTTCCAAGCTAATAGATTCATCTTTCTTCGAAGGAGATAATTCTTTTTCTTTTGGTATCTATACGAAGCAAAAATAATTAATAGAAACCAATATTTATACAGATTACAATTATCAATTTTATTCGATTTAAAAAAAAAAAAGAAAAGTAAAGAATTGACTCACATTCAATACGATGTTCAAAGTTTCATCTTTCATTACAGTAGATAATTCATCTTTTTTTGATTTCTATAAAAAAAATATATAATAAAAAAAAAAAAAAGAAATGTATGTATAAATAAAGTAATATTAATTTAAAAAAACCGAGTCAAATTAACTTACATTTTTATCAAGAATCGAACATTCATCTTTTTCTGAAGAAGATGGCGGTTGTTCTTTTTTTGATTTCTTTAAATATAAATAATTAAATAACTTAATTTAATTTAATTTAATTTAATTAAAAAAAAAAAATATAAAAATACAATTTATTTAAACTTACATTTTTTTCGATAATCGAACATTCCTCGATAAGAGATTTCTGTTCAATTTTTTTCTCGATAGATTGTTCGATCTTTTCTTCTAACGATTGTTCGATAATTTTTTTTTCAAATTGTTGTACATCAGTCTTTGTGGTTTCCTTCACCGATTGTACCTTTTGTGCAACAGGTAAATCAACTACGCTTTTTTCAATAATCGTTTTAGTTTTAATTTCAGTTTTAATTTCACTCGGTAATTGTTTTGGATCACTCATTACTTTTTCTTTCTTTGATCGAGTATTAATCGACGATGTAGGAACTTCCGGTTTAGGCATTGTTAAAATTCAAAAATTCGATCTAATTAATAAAATAATAATTTATTATTCTTTTTATTATATTTATAATTAATTTAAATTACAATTAGATTAATATTTTGTGAACCGTAAAACAAAATGGTTTATCAATGTTAAATGTAAAGTGAACGTTGCATTAATTAAAAAAAGTAAGATATATAATTATAAATGTAAAATAATTTATGTATAAATTGTATTCTTACAAAATAAAAAAATATTCTTACCGGTATCGATGAAAATTAAACGATTTCTGTTCAATGTCGCACTTGTTACTCGATAATAACGATCGAAAAAGAAAATGGGGGGGAATTGCTTTGATATGCGTGCGCAGAAATTTTTACAATTATACACAGACAAACAAATAATCGAATAATAATAATATCCAAGTAAGTGAATGTTAAGAAAATATAATTCTTTAGTAATATTGGTGGTGTACTGCGGTCAATCGATTATGCTTATTCAACAAACACGTATATATATCTTCATTCATCTTCCTCGTGATGGCCTCGTGTTCCAGTCTAATGTCAACCTTTTTCTGTCTCATGTTACGACTTTCGAGATATCCCCCGAAAGAAAATTTTTCCATACTTTGTACCGTATTTATCAATCATTCGTGCCCTATTCACACGAAAATATGCAAAAAAATATTTATTCTATATTTATTGATCTTGTCTCCTTGCATTATCTTTTTTTCTTTTTTGCTTCTTTTTCTTGAACGGTTCAACGGTACAGTCAATTTTTGTTACGTCGGTAACAAAATAAAAAAAAATAATAAAAAAAAATTAAACGTGTTTATTCATTTCTTTTTATCGTTATATTTGATTATTATTTTTGTATTAATATGAATATTAAATGTATTTTTATTTCTTAGAAAAATATCAAAATAATATGTCAGTAAGTCGATAAATTACCGACAGTATAGTTAGTTACCGACCATATCAAGTTACCGACCGTACATAGTTACCGACTAAACTTCATTACTTACCGACAATAATAATTTTAAAAACATTTTTATTATCGATCGTCGATAAATATTCGATGTTTCTCGTGAGCATTGCAAACGGACGAAAGTCCCACCGACCAGGTAAAAAGTTTATAATCACGGCCGGTGAAGACGTCATCCGGATGCATCACTTCACAATAGTTTTTTTTTTTTTTAAATCTTTTCTTATCGTCTTGAGTTTATTTACATACTTGCATATAGTTTTTTATTTTACTAACGTTGCGGTATCCGTCAAATCGTACTTAAACATTTTAATATACAAACTTTTGAGTTGAATAGAATCAAAGGTGTTTATCAACGTAAATAATTCGTTAGTTCGAGATATCGTTTCTTTTACAAGAATAACAAGCTTTCATCTAGGCAAACAACTCTTTGGCATGTAAGTTATATGTTATATATAACGGTAAATTGGCCACACCTCGATATCGAGAAAGCATATACATATATTATTCCTTGGATAAAACTTTGTTTCAATTCAAATCAAATTAATTTGAACATCTTTTTTATTTTCATACATCAAATAATCGTTAATTTTTTTTTTCATTCATATTTTATCTTTAGAAGTAAAAAAACAGAAAGAAAGAAATTTAGCTTGTAGAATGTTTCAATATCATTAAATGTTTTCGTGTAAAAAAAAAAGGATTTATCATGTACCCAAGCATGTATATATATATATATATATATATATATATATAAAAATGCAATGAGAAATTGTTTTAACACGAAGATGATTTTTGAACTCTTTGATCACGTTAAGTGATAAGGAAAAAAAAAATAAGAGAAAAAAGAAGAAGAAGAAGAAGAAGAAAATATAAAAAACAAAATAAAAAAAGAAACGATAAAACTTTCCGTAATGATTCTATATAACAATTATTCGCAGAACGTAACACGTTGTTATCAGCGAACGTGTCTCTCTCACTCTGTTTGCAATATAAAATAAGAATTTTAATTTAAAAACCTATACGACTGATATTAAAAAAATTAGAAAAAAATAATTTAAACGAAAAAAAAAAAATAGAAAATCAAACATAATTTATACACCACGTGTTATATTTACAGAAATAGTATCGAAAAGAAACAAAAAAAAAAAAAAAAGATGGAACTAACGAATGCATAAACTTTGAACCTTTTGTAACATTATTTCTATATGTTTTTTTTTTTTTTTAAATACAAAAAAAAGAAATTTCCAAGTCAACACACGGTTTAACAACAGCGTGTGCAACGATAAATCCGGTTTCTATGTTCAATGAATTTTTTTCGAATATTTTTTGTTTGTTTAAATTAAATTGCATTCGAAGTTATCAAAAAAAAAAAAAAAAAAAATTAGAATTACAATTAGAAATAGATCATTGAACAATTTGTAACACACCTTTTTGATAATTAGAGAAGAACATTTTGTTTCGATTGATCGTCCATCTTGGATTTTTGTTTTGTCCTTCCTGTTGCCAACATTTTTTATTCACAGTTTATCATTGTTAAATCATAATTTTTTAATTTTTTTCTCACTGATTCACGGTATTTTGATTAAATTAAATTAATTATTAAATATCACTGTTTCTCGTTTTCGTAATATAATTCAAATGAAAATGCGATTTACCGTATTCCATATTATCGTCAAAGTTAAATTCATGTATTACGTAAATCATTGTGCACGTTGTTATGAACATCTTCGGCCAATTAACAGTCAGGATTTTTATCGCACCGTCACGGTTCATGAAAAACTTCGCGACATTCTATATTCGAAAAAATATACATGTATATATATATATATATATACACATATATATTATACTTTTTGCTATGTATACATATATATATCATACATAATCATTTTCTATACGATTTATATTTAAATGTACTTTGAATAATCAGGTGACTGTAAATATTTCAAAATATTTCCGTCCTCAGTGTTATTCATTTTTAATATCTTTTTTATGCAAATTAAATTAATTCAATTATTTGTTTATTTTAAAAGTACTTCATTTGACTTTTAAACGCGGTAAAAATCAACACTAATGATATCTACTTTTGAATTGGCCGCCATGATTATACGATTAAAATTTTGTATTAATTTAATATAATTGATGAAAAATTCTTAACAGAATTATAATTAAAAAAAAAAAAAAAAAGAGACAAAAATTAAACATATAAAATATTAATCAATATTAATTAACATAATTATAACAATATTTCATTTGATTCAGATTTGTATTAGTTTTGGCGGCTATGATTGAATTTCAAATAAAAACTTACAAATACAAATAAATGTACGAATATGATTCGTAATATTAACAAATTATTATATTTTTTTAATTCATAATTTCATAGGGATCATTTTAATATTAAAAAAAAAAAAAATAAAAGAAAAGAAAAACAAAATTGAAAATGGCTCTCTCACGTGTTCGGTCGCTCGCCCTAGTGACGATTTTTCAAAGGTGTCGCGGTTTAATTTGAATTTCCGCGTTCCATAATACACACAGACATAAACACACACATTCTCATTTTGAGTTGCACTCGATACGTTTTACTATACTATTGCAATAGTGGATGATGTTCGTTTGAAATCCGTGCCTTGCATTCCGAGCGCAACTGCGTTCCGACGTGGTCGTCGTCGGTGTTGCCGATAAAGGTGACGTTCTACATCCTCTTTCCCCCCACCCCCTTTTTTTAAAAATACTTTTTTAATTATTATTCAATATATATATATATATATATATGTATATATTCTACTTTACCGGCAGTACAATAAAATGTTTAAATTGAAGAGGTTGATAATGAAAAAAAAAAAAATAAAGATGAAATGTTAATATGTGTTGGTAAATGACGTCATTAAATAAGAGGAATTAATGCAAGGAAAAAAAAATCAAATAAAGAGAGAGAGTAGGAAACAGGAAGACAAGCAGAATATCGGAACGCAGTCCCGCAGCTGACTCGTTCGATGTATTTCCGTCGATGAACTCGTGGCCCACGAGTCATCTAAACGGACTTTGTCCTGTCGTATCCTTGTTGCTTATGAAATGAGCGATCCTCTGAACATTTATCATCATTTTAATGGTTATTATATGTACAGGTTAGTTTTATCATAGTTATTATCGATAATCAAAATTTCATTATAAATTCAACGTGTGACTATACTTGGATCAAATTTAATTGAGTATCAAACATTTGTCACCATTTTTGTACATATGAATTGAATTTGGTATTAAATTATTAAATGGGATTTAATTTGAGTATAGCTGTGCTTACAAAAACAAACTGAAAACGCAAACTAATTTATAAATGATGTAATACTTATTGATATATTGGTATGTATACGTGATTGTAGAATTTTTGAACTGAATTTTGATTATTCAACAAACTATAATAATAATATTTTCTTATCTTACGTGTGAAAATGTGATATCTTCCTTATCGACGTACAAATGATGTTTCAAAAGATGAAATTATTTAAACGATTAATTACAATATATATATATATATATTATTCACTCGGCACTGTAAAAATGTGGTCACATTTTTTGTTTCAAACAACACATATAATTATAATAATATAATATAATATAATATGATTTATAAATCCGATTCAAAGTAAAAAGAAAGAAATAAAAATTGTATTGAAATATGGTGGCAAAACCGGAACCGGCAAGTGGGTCACTGTCATTCGTCAAGAGTTGTTCATTTCAATTGGTCAATTGTTTATACACCCGACATTAAGGATCACGTAGTTTATTTTTGATTATTTTAAATAATTACTAAATAATTTGTGTTAATTATAGAAATGTCATAAATGAAATACGTAAAAGTTTGTGTGCACTGAGTGAACCACGTTATACGACGGACTGAAAGAAACTGACCAACTGGTAGTCGACAAAGCTGAGATTCCTGACTCTCTGACTCCTTCCTCCTCTTCAAAGGAAGAACTTATGACTGTCTTTCTATACCAGCCTACATACTTGCATGCTTATTTGCCTGACTGCTTACCTTCCTTACTTATTTCTTTGCTTTCTTGCTCACTTAACTTCTTACTTACCTTATTTTGTCCTGGCAACGTCATCACGGTAACCATAATTCGTCATCTATGCCAGCTACCTACTGACGTCATTCATGGGATGCTGTCATCACTTCTGCAATTCCTAGATCCTATTTTTATTTATTTCATAAAGTTTCCTTTGAGTGGATCTCTGACGTTCACTGGGATTTCAGATTAAATGGGAAAACAAAAATCTCATAAACTTAAATTATATTTAAAAATGTTAATAATTCTGTAAAACTTGTAACCCAATTTGTTAACAGTCATTTTGTTTTTTTTTTTTTTTTATAAAACATACATCCTCCCCCCTCTCCCCCTAATTAAATAAGAAATCATGCTTTGTTTTCTAATAGAAGATATATTTTATTAATAACAATGTTTAATTAGTTGTACTAATTTTTTTTTGTTTTGTTCATATCCACCATTATTATTGTTCTAACTATAATTGGATAGATCGGAGATAGTTAGAAATTCTTCTAACAATTACTCGTTACACGTCCTTTCTTTTCGGCCGTTAACAAATTGTATATTTCTTTTAATTTCTCTTTTTTTTTTCTGCTCACACTTCTTTACGAATTATTTTTTTCTCTTTTGCCTCATTATTTTATTTTCTTTTTTTTTTTCTCTTCCGATCGGAGAACATTTCCGGTATGGCGGTGACAAGTAAAGAAGAGGAGGTGGAGAGGGATAGAGAGGGGTAGTTGACGTTTGGCGACCTCCTCAAGGTGAACCCGCAAACTCGGTCAACAGTGGCGTAATGTCATTTTATTTGAATGATTTTATTTTGTGTAACTCCGCCTAGATAATATCTAGATACTTAGATATTATCTAGCTGGTCCCAAGCCCAGATAAAGGAGGAGGGTTCGAGGGGGAAGCTAGTAACTTACTCCCTCGGTAAAAAAAAATAACCGCAGAACTAACCTCACAGCATCCTTAAGGTGTGAAGTTAGTTCTGAGAAGAGTAGTTTTTTTTTCGAAATTTTTAATTTCGTTGAACAAGCCACACGAATTTCTTAGAAACTAACATCGCTCATTGTTTATAATAAATTTTTAATCATTTCCATGCATTTCCTAATTCATCACCGTTGTTTCATTAATTTATTATAAATATTGAACGTCTGATAGCTTCAAAATGACGATCAATTTAAAATTGCAATTTTCGTTACACTATTCTATAAAAATTGGTGAAAATATAATAATTCAATCAACAATATATTATAAATTTTATTTCATTATTATAAATATTTTAATATTTACATTTATCTATTTACAAATGATTTCTATGATCGAATTTGAAATTAGTCGTCCATCTTGTTTCTTCTTCTCACGATATTTCGAACTCAATTATCGATCGAATTAATTTATTATAATTATAGGCAAATTGTATCTAAAAATAATACTATAACGTAAAATAATGTTATATGAATGGTTACGCCAATGAATGTAAGCATTCGCTAAAAAAACATAGTGAATGAAAAGAGCCGTACCGCTTGTAAGATTTCGAATGAAGTGAACTTGCGTGAAATGCAAGAGTGTGTATATTCTTGTTACCGGCCGGCTCAAATCCCATATGAAAAGTTAACAGTCTTCTACTATGTCATCGTTTTCTCATAGCTAAAGTTATTCATTTTAATGTTGGTAAGATTGCCATAGTCGTCGTTTGCGAATCTGGCCCAGAAAATAAGCCGGAACTATACGAGGAATCAACGACCTTGGCAATAGTCGTATTGTCAGAATATGGGTAATCGAAAAAAGAAAGTTTTTTCTCTCTTTTTTATTGCATTCGCGAATTAATTAAAGACAGTAATTGCATTATTTTATAAATTATTTTATAAAAGTAGAAATCGGACTTCTAACTTTCTTTTCAAATTTTTTTTTCGATACTTTCAATTCGATTCAAGACTATAAAGGCTGTTACATTTTTATATTTGATTGTAAAATTAATTTGATCAATCGTAATCAAAGACACGTGTGAAAGAGAGAAAAATAAAGAAATCAATCAATAATCAATCAATCAAGCAATAAAGATAAGAAAAAACGATTATCTTTCTTTTTTTTGTGGATGCATGAAGCAATCGCATGACTACAGTGGTAACGAGAGAAAGAGGGTTATTTGAAATTGGCGCTATTTAAATTAAAGTTAATGCGCGTGCGCATAGCACTGAGCATGCGTATGACACTGGGCATGCGCATTGTTCGTGCGTATGGAACTGAGCATGCGTATTGGACTGAGCATGCGCATGGCACTGAGCACGTGTATTCCGCGTGCGCCTGTTACATGTGCATTCGTTTGTGGATAAATTCACGAGTTAATACAGTGTAGTGATTTGATAGTGATTTATTTAATAAAAAGAACAATTAAATACATTTTTATTATTAATTGTATAATATTTTTAAAAAATGGATAAAGTGTGTCATATATGTGAGAAGAATTTGGCGAAGTATAAGTGTCCTACATGCAGAACTCCCTTGTAAGTACTTTTTAAGGTTAAGTTGTTGATCTTTTTATAAAATGTACATTTAATAATAGAATAATTTGATAAACGTGTTATTTGTTTAGCTGTTCTGTTATTTGTGGTAAAGAACATAAAAAAGTTAATTGCAAACCACCAACACCACCACCACCATCACCACCACCACCATCATTGCTACCCTCATCACCACCGGAAAAAGAGAGTGAAGAAGACGATAAAAAAGACATCATACCTTTGGAAATGTTAGAAAGATTATCTGAGAGTGAAGAGGTTAAAAAGTGTTTAAAAAATTCACAGGTTCGTGATATTATTAGGTTTATAGTGAAAAACAAGGATCCAATGGAAGCTATAGATTTAGCTATGACCGAATCAGTTTTTGTTGAACTTGCAGATGCTTGTTTAGAAGTAGTCGAAGAAAAAGAACGTGAAGATATATAATAGAAATAATGAATTATTAAACATATGTATAGGTTATTTTAAAATAACAATATAGTTAGACACAATTGTTTAGGAAATTTTTAATACTTTTTATTTATTTTTTTTTTGTATAAAAACATAAGAAACTTAGTTGTTGCTTAAAAAATTCACAATTATATGATAATTGTTAGATGATTAAGTATATTAGAGAAAAACGATGACGCTTATAAAATGAATTATTCATAACTTGATTTGTTATGATAGTTCTCATGTATTTCTTTTTTAGAATGTGTCTTTCATTTAAATAAATAATTCAATTTTATACTTATATGATATATAGTACATCATATATCATATAAATATGTATTTTTATATATATATATATATAGTTATATCAACAAATCTGAGAAAGAATTACAAACATAAAATAAAACTATGCAAATGTTGAATCTTCTTTTTTTATAAAAATGAAAATAAACAATGAAAGAAAGATAAAATAACATTCACAGTTCTGTATGCGAATTGTAAGAATTAGAAACATAATATTCAAGATTTTGTGGTAATTGTGTTCCATCTATTTCTGCTTCTAATGCACAGTATCTTTTTCTGATATGATAAGCTGCCATTTTTGGTTGTCTCTCTCTTGTAAATATTCCTTTTTTATTTCCTCCTACTCTGTAAAAATCTATAAAAAAAGAAATAAATATTTATATGTATATACATATACTTTTTTATATTTATATATTTTATTATTTATATTATATAATTATTTATAAATAATTTGTGATTTTTATATATAATAATAATTAATATGTTTAGGTTATGTTAATTAATATATATATATATATATTAAATTAAATCTTACTTTGAGCTGTTCGAAAGTCAGCAAAATTCCAAATAAATTCACCAATGAAGAAACCTTCATTTCTTAAACGATCAAACGCTTCAAAATGATGAGAAAACATTTCAGTTTGATATTCTTCACTCCAGATATAATTTGGCAACTAAAACATATTTTGTGTCATTATTAATTTAGATTAATTATCTTCATTTAAGATCATATACTTTGATTTGATAATTTATTTCAATTTTACCTCATGTTCACCGGACAATGTATCAGCGCCATATTCGGACATAAGTACAGGTTTGTTATATTTTCTATGCCAAGCTTCAGCTTCAGTAATAACTCTATCAATAATCATATCCAATCTACCAGGATTAACGTACCATGAATTGTAACGATTAAAACTAATCACATCTAAATATTGACCAACTTTGTCTTCCTATGATAAACAAAATAAATTGTTGCTTAACAATTGAATCATCTCAATTTAAAAATCTTTGAAACAAATGTAACAAATACCTGAACACTTCTAGCTAATGCAATTGTAACTGGTCTAGTAGGATCTAAAGCTTTCGTATGATCAGCAATTTGTTTGAAATAAACATCAGCACCTTGTAGTTGAGTTCTTGGTTCATTAGCAAGAGACCACATGATAACCGAAGGATGATTTTTATCTCTTCTAATTAATTCTGACAAAGATGTTTTGTGTCGTGCAAGTAAAATTGGTGAAAAGTTTTCAGTGTCAACTGATGGGCATTCATCGATGATCATAAAACCAAGCCTAAAGAATAAAAAAAAAAAGAATATTTTTGTATTATATCAAAATATTAAGTGTCTACTATAAAAATTCTGTCCAAACATTAGTTCAATTTTTTGTCACTAGGGGTAAAACCCCCGTTTCTTAAAATTGAAAATACAAATAGCCAAAATGTTAGCAAGAGTTCAAAAGTTATTCAATTAATTAATTGTTCAATTATTATAAAAATGAACAGAATTTTCTGATAGACCTAATAAATATCAATTAAATAATTATATGTACCTGTCAGCTGCATCTAAAACTTCTTCGCTGTAAGGATAATGACTAGTCCTATAAGAATTAGCACCAACCCATTGTAAAAGTTCATAGTCTCTGGTCATTGTAACCAAATCGAAACCACGACCTCTTAAAATTGAATCTTCATGTCTTCCAAAACCTCTCAAGTACACTGATTTACCATTAATTAACAAACTTGTATTTGTCCATGACACTGTTCTAATTCCTATAGGTAATCTATAAACATCTGAACTAACACCATTTTGTATCGATAATCTGACCTGAAAAATGAACAAATATAAGAAAAAATGATAGTCTTGTTCATTTGATTTAAAATATATTTATACTGTAAATCATTTTCTTATACCTCAAGAGTGTAAAGATATCCAGGTGAAGAATCCATGCCTCGAGGCCACCAAAGTTTAGCTTTAGGTACTTTAAGTATACCAGATAAGTGTGTATTACCTGGATCCTTTATTGCAACCTTTTCTTCTGCATCATGCAAGGTCACAGTACAAATTGGTATTTCATCTTGATTTAAACCTCCTACCTGTACGGTATATTTTATTAAACCCATATCACCCACCACTTCAGTTCTCACTGTTATATCTTCAATGTAAACTTGTGGTGTTGTGTATAACAATACCGATCTGTTGTTGTACAATAAGATGAAAATATTGAATAATTATAAATGATAGATAGATAAATGAAGTGTTTAACTGTACCTATGAATACCAGCATAATTGAAAAAATCAAAAGTATAACTTTGAAAGTGTCTAGTTCCATTATCAGTGACAATGTTACTAACTCTTCCTTGAGGTATACTAGTTTGAAGCAAAGTATTATCAACTGCAACAGTTACACGATTTTTCCCGCCAAATATCAAATATTTAGATATGTCTGCTTCAAATGGTAAATTTCCTATTTCATGTTCCATCACTAATTCGTTGTTAACCCACTAGAAATGAATTACACAATAATTATTAGGGTTTTTTTTTTGTTTATTTGAACAATGATTCTTAAGATCAGTGTGATTGAACTTACAACTTGAGCTAAATAATGAACTGAACCAAATCTTAAAAAAACTCTTTGATTTTGCCAAAACCAGGGTACGTAAAAACTGCGTTCATACCAAACAGCACCAACATGATCCCTGAGTTCTTTTGAAGTTGTTATATCATTGTAAGAAGACGGTACTGGCATTTTGATCAATTCACCAGCCTAAATATTAATTAATTATTATGTTTCATATTTGAAATAAAAAAACATTTCATTTTGAATTGAATATGATAACAATAATAACAATATACATACCTTTGATAATGAATCAATGTACCAAAATTCTGTGTAACCTTTTAAAATATCGTTTTCTGGTGATGCAATAAAATCCCATAAACCATCTAATGATCTTATCTATATTAACAAATATTTTTCATTAATATTTTTATGTGTTTATATGTAATGTACAGTAAATTCCAAATATTTCATAGTTGGTTGTAATGATTACATTTATACAGGAATTTACTGTACAATGAATAATAATTGGATCGAGATAATATGTTTATACCTCACGTGATTCGCTCTCTCGAGGATAAAGTAAACCAGGAAGTGGGGCTGGTTGAGTTTCCTCTTGTGGCAATGTTGCAGATTCTTTTGGTGTTTCTGGTAATTCAAATTCAACACCAAATTCACCTGATTTAACGCTACCAATAAGAAATATGATCAACAGCAACATGTTGTTTGATATTTTTTATACCTGTAATTATAATTGTTTTATATATAATTAATAAATTAAATTTTATATTTTACAAAATATACAATATATTATAAGATAAATATAGATTATAATAGGATAGATAAGTTAATTGTATTTGATAATTATAATATAAAATAGTTATATAATATATGTAATGCAAATTAATATTTTATTATGTAATATTATATATAATAATTAATTTAATAATAAATTTAAGTAGATATTATATATATAAATAATATTATATAATTAAATATTAATATTATATATTTGAATATTTTGAAATATTAATATTATATAATAAATTAATAAATATTTATATGATTATTAAAAAATTTTATAATATAATATTATATATAATTAATAAATTAAGTTATATTTAAAAAAAAATATATATTTTATAAGATAAATATAGATTATATAATAATATAGATAAGTTAATAATATTTAATAATTATAATATATTACAATATATATATAATTATATAAATTAATATTTTATTATATAATATTATATATTTTATCTATCTTATATATATATATATATATATATATATAATAGATTTTTAATTAACTTATTTATAATAAATGCACAAAATTTAATTTACAAAATTTAATTCACAAAATTTAATTTACAAAATGTAATTTACAAAATTTAACTTACAAAATTTAATTTACAAAAATCAAACAACTTTTCTAAACCGTAGCTAAGGAACGACTGATTTAAATATAAATTAATTACAATAATGTTTTAAATGACATGTGCTTTATCTTTTACAGATATCATTTACCAACACAATATGCAAATGTCCTTACAATTGTACGTAATTTTTTTTTTTTTTGACAAAAAAAAGTACATGTATTAGATAAAGTTGTTATGTTTAGTATGTTTAGCACGACTCATTGTTTCACCTGATATATTTTTATCTTATTCAATGTTGATAAGATAATAGTATTCCTTTTTTTTTTTATACGAAGGTGAACATTGTTTTTAAAAAAAAAAAAGAAAAAGAATTCTCACGTAAAATCTACTTGCAAAAGTTAAACATACGAATTAGTATGCATGTTAAAAGAATAGATAAATATGTCTGTGTGTGTGTGTGTGTTGATATTGTATCCTTTCTTTGTATTTTTGTACTTTTTTTTTTCGATTTTTTGTAGTCACTTTTTTGTTAAAAAGAATTCACGAATGTGTTTCTACCATTTTTTACTTGACCCAAGACCGGTCTTCTTCTATCTCTTTTCTTTACTTTCATGGTCAAGATTGAATTTTATATTTATATCTGACAATAAGTTATTTCAAAATTGTATTATTTACATTTGATCGTGAAAAACAAATATTTACTTTTTTTTTTATTAGTAATTTATTTATCATTTAAGGCCTTACTCTACTTTGACACTTTTAAAATTTTGAAATTTTTTTTTGTTTTCTGCATTTGTCGAAAGTAAATATATTTAAGAATATATAGTCAAAATTCAAGAACGATCGAAGTATTTAAACTGTACCTTTTCAACGCTACTATTTGAGCGCGCTACTTTATCCTAGAGCCGCTGTGTTTATCGGAGCACGTATACGGTAGTTGTAGGCGATAAAATTAATATGTAGTTATTTCTTTATTTTATTTTCTATTTAAATACGCTATCGTAGACGATAAGATTAATATTTAGTTCTTTATTTATTTTATTTCCTGTTTGAATATGCTATCGATCTTAGTGAAACGAAGCGCGACGAAAACTGTTGTGCAGTGTAGTGCCCTTTCAGTGGTTTCAGATTCCTATGTAAACACATTTATGATACAAATATGTGAAAAAAAGTAAGAAAGAGTTCAACCGATGTTCAACCACAACATATGTATTGTCCGGTCGGAGCGGACAGCTGGTGCCAAATACTTCAAGACTGAAACTACCAAAACTTTAAATAATTTTAAACATCCGCCTGCTTTTTCTAAAGACGTTCAAGAGGTTTTAAAACTCATTTACGAGGACTTGACAAGAGAAGATTTGCTGCAAGGATGTCTCGGCGGCAATACTCAGAACAACAACGAAAGTTACAACTGCTGCGTCTGGAGTATTGCGCCAAAACATTGTTTCAATGGAAAAAAAAATAGTTGAAATTGCAACATACATTGCAGCTTGCATATTTAATGAAGGATATCAACCTGTATTAAAAATAATGAATGTCATGGGGATGAAAATTGGCGAGAATGCGAATTGTTTTGTCAGCGTGCGCGATATCCACCGTGTCCACTTAGCTGAACAACAGTCGTTGGAGGCTTCTAAGGAGATAAGAATTCAACGTAGAAAGGCTAAGTCACAAGAAATGGAGTTAGAAGATGTGAAAGGAATAATGTACGGTCCAGGCATTGCTGATTAAGCGTAAGTCACATTTTTTTACGTTTTTTACGAACAAAAACTCTGAACGCGTTTTTCTCGAAACAACGTTTTTGAACCGCTTGTTGAAAAAATCTCAGAAACTACTATTCCGATCCTTATGAAATTTTAACCACATATTCTCTAAACCTATCGCTATATCCCGTACCTCGATTATTGCAAAATTCTAATTTTTACTGCATTTTTTTTAGCAAAAAATCGCAAAAAAAAACATGTTTTTTTTCCTTTTTCTTGCTTTTTCCGCCATTTTGTTATTTTTGCATAAAAATTAAAAAATTTTCGTACGGGATATAGCCACTGGTATAACAAACATAAAACTAAAGTATTTTTTGGTTTCAGATGGACTGACTTTCAGATTTTTTCAACAGCGCACACCCACGTACTTCTTAAAGACTTCTGTTTGAGTGCAATTTTTGTACCTTAAAAGTGTTTGAATAAATAAAAAAAAAATTTTATTTTATTCTTAAAGAGTGTATCTAACAACTCCAAAAAGTTTTACATCAATAAAAATAATAATATTCTCAAAAAAAATTCATAAAAATAGCGTTTTTATAAGGCGTTCAAAGTAGAGTAAGGCCTTAATTTCAATATCTGTTTAATTAAGTAGATATAATAAAATTAAAAAAGAAAAAAAAAACAAAAAATTATTTCTATCATTAAAAAATAATTCAAATAAATTCAATAATACAAATATCAAATATGTACTTTATAATAATTCAAACTGTTTTATTTAATTTTAATTAAACAAATAATATATAATTATATTTATAATAATATAAATTATATATATATATATATATATATATATATATTATATAAGGGTGGGTCAAAAAAATTAATTATTTTTTTTTTTCAAGTGCCACGGAGAAATGGGTTGCTAGACACCTTAAAACAATTCTCACCAAATATGAGCTCTTAATTTTAATAAGAAGATCCTCTGCATCGCAGTTTTTTATTTTTTTCTCAGTCCAATAGAATAAAATTCATACTTCATTATTTATTGATTGTACAGAAAAATGTTCTAGACGAATTTTGTAGGAAATTTAATGCTCTACAAAAAAGGTATCTTATATTTTTTCCGTAAACCTCACCATTTGAATGATATTGAAGATTTAAATTTAATGATTTTTAGACAAATTTCATTTTTGTTTATGAATTTTATAACTCGACAATAAATGACTATTAAAAAGTGCACAATACAAATTTTTGTAGGAAATTAAGTGCTCTATAAAAATGGTGTCTTATGTTTTGGCGATTAAATTAAGCGTTCAAAAGATATTCATCATCAAACTTTCATGTGTACTGATTTCTGTCTCTGAATATATATATTGGGATCTCTGGCAGGTGCATGGCGTAGCAATTCGATCTATCTACTCTAATTTTGAATTTAGCCACCAGATAGCGTATTCAAGTACTAGAGATCCNTATTATTTTTATATATTTACTTTTCCATCTTTTATTTTCTTCTTTAATTTATTTATTAATAATTGCATGTATTCATAAGTTTTAGATAAATATTTTTAATGTAATTTTATTTCATACAATTTCATATCATTTGCACATTGATTTTAACATTTTTATTTTTACTTTACTATTTTTTTTCTTATAGAACAGTCATATGAATTTATGAAATTCATTTAACAAAAAAAAAAAAAAAAGAAATGGAACTTTTTCGAATTATTAACTTTCTATTAATAATTCCTCATACCTTTTAGAAATATTGATACCTGATATCTTTCAATATTCACCATTACAGAATAAATATCCGTTATCTTGTCTCATTCTACAGGTAATATATAATTATTAATCTAAAAGAAGAAAAAAGAATAAAAAAGAAGAAGAAGAAGAAAAATGTTGGAAACACATTGAACTTTCTTGAATAATTGACCTTCTATAATAAAAATAATAATAATAATATTATCTACGTACCTTCAACTAATATTATCTTACATAATTTCTTATTGCATTAATATAACTTTACTTTTAATATCTTCACATTCTTTTTATAATACAAACATCTTATCTCGTGTTTCATAGACCTTTGCATATTTATTAAAAAATTTATTATTAAAAATATTGAAATAATCAAAGCAAATTTTTTGCATGCTAAGAAAAAAAAAACACAAACCATTGTACAATATTTATTAAAAATAATTCATTAAAAACAACTCATATAAAATTTATTAAATATTAATTATTAAAAAAAATTCATATAAAATTTATTAAATATTAATTATTAAAAA